ATCTATGAGATTGCCCTCTTCTTGCACTTGTAGACAAAGCACTCCTACATAACCAAACAAACCCGTTCAATAAAAAGTGTGCCATTTGGGTAATCCTGATCTTTGAAGCCATCTATTGGTCTCAGAATGAAAATATTTCATTTTGTACAAATAAAACACACAGAGAAATGAGTCTGTGGTCAGGTGTCGCTAAATTACTAAATTTGTGAGGGTCTAACATTGGATTTGTTGGTGTGGTAGACCTAGGGAACTACAGAGTCTACATTTTGTTTAATGAGCAGAAGTTGTGCTACTATAGGAAAGATTTCTGTACAGTTCTGTGCAATGGTGCCAAATGTTGCTGTCTCCTTTACATGTTAAATATATTTATATGCCTGCTGTATTGGATAAGCTCAGATGCATGGTTTAGGAGCCAACAGCTTGGGGTCAACAGCTTGAGGCCTACACTAGAATTGCTAGTGGTGCTTCCTTTTCCCAGACCTGTGCTCATGTGCTCCTAATTGTACTGACTAGTTAGTCGCTTTAAACAAAGATAATTAGACGTGCCCTAACAATGTGCACTCCAAGCAGTGCCTCTAATAATTAAAGGCACTGGTCACTTAAAGAGTACTCCTATAAACAACACTTAATCTTCAAGCTAGTTTCACTCAACATTTGCTCTTGCTGACTGGATTTTTGTGAAGCTTTTTAATGGCTGGCTGTTAGCATTCTGTAGAAGAACAACCTCCAACAAAAGAGTGAAAAGCATTTCTGAGAAGCTGGGACTACCCCACAGGAGAGACTGAACTCAAACACAAGAGTAGATTCCATGAAGACCTGATCTAAAAAGCCACTCCGTCTGTACCTTTTATCTGCTTAAAACTATCAAGGTTTTATTGGTACAACTCCTTGACATCTGTCCCTCTCCCAACGTGGGATCAGACCAATCTGAAGCGATCACCATGGTAAGAGGGACAGCTGAGATCATCAGATATCGCCAAGCTGTCTTCAGTGAAAACTGTTTAGAGACAAGCATGGTGAAGGGGAGGAGTAAAAACAGTCCCCCTGGCATGATGACATTTGCAGGCAACCCCACCAAGCTGGGATCCTGAGCCAGGATGATGGTGAGTTGGAGGTTGGCCTAAGTGTCACAAAATCCTGTTTCAAACCAGGAAACCCTGTCTTAAATTATTCCCCCCAAGACACGGTTTCTCTGTGTAACCCTGGTTGTTCTGGTACTTGCTCCACAGGCCAGGTTGGCCTCAAACTCAGAGATCCCCCTGCCTCTGCCTCCTGAGTGCTGGGATTAAAGGCGTGCATCATGACGGCCTGGTGGGAAACCCGTTCTTATATTTGGTTACTTGCGGGAATGTCTTTGGTTTCTACTTGTATTCTGGTAAAAATGGCCTCCAAGAAATCTGTTCTTTTTGGCTCTCCTTTCCTATCCTGTCACTCCTGATTTACCTGAAGCACCTACCTAAGTTTTTTTTTTAAATATTTATGTATTTATTATAGATACAATATTCTGTTTGCATATATGCCTGCTAGAAGAGGACACCAGACCTCATTACAGATGGTTGTGAGCCACCATGTGGTTGCTGGGAATCGAACTCAGGTCCTTTAGAAGAGCACGCAATGCTCTTAACCGCTGAGCCATCTCTCCAGCCCCCAGCACCTACCTAAGTTAAAATGCACCTATAAATAACAGTATTTTAGGGCCACTGAGATACATGGCTCAGAGGGTGAAGATGTTTAAGCATGACGACCCTGAGCTGGATCCCCAGTTTCCACATCATGGGGAGCTGAATCCTCTAAGCTGTCTCTGACCTACACAAGTACAAATGTGTGTATGTGCACCCACATAAACTGTAAGTAAAAAAAAATTAAGTAATTTTTAAAATTTACTTTAAATGTAAAGTAATTAAAATTTTTTAAGTAATAGCCAGGAGGTGGTTGTGCATACCTGTAATTTGGGAGGCAGAGGCAGGTGGAGCTGTGAATTCAAGGCCAGCCTGGTCAACGGAGTGAGTTCCCAGGACAGCTAGGGCTGTTTGTTACACAGAGAAACCATGTCTCAAAAAACTAAAAAAAAACAAAACTTATTTATTTGTGTGTACTTTTGTGGGCATTGACTCACCAGAGCGTGAAGGCCAGAGACAACCCACAGGAGTTGGTCCCCTCCTGCTAGTGTGTACTGTCCTAAGGATCAAACTGTCAGGCTTGGCAGCTTTTAGCTACTAAATTATCTCATTGGCCCAATCTAGGCAACTGCAACGTTCTCAACACTACAACGGGGAACTAGCTTCCTTTATAGAGTGTGCCTCCACAATAAAATCTACACAAAATCTGGTCTAATCTGTACCCTAAATTTCCTTTCTAGTCCCTCTAAGCTAGGGATAGAACCCAGGGCAAAGGAATGCCAGACACACACCTGCCCCTGAGCTACATTTCCAGGCCCGCCTCCAGGGAATCAGAAGGTGGATAAAAAAGACAAAAAGGGGGGGGAGGGGCGGCGGCGAGGACACACGGAGAGGGGGGGAGGAACGGACAGGGACACTACACGACCACAAGGACAGCACTGTTGCTTTCACTGAGATGGGGCTCAAGTAGCACAGGCTGGACTTGAATACCTGGATGCTTCTGCCTGTTCTACCTGCTCTTCTCAATGGTTGAGTGCTGGGATCACAGACATATACCTCCATACTTAGTTTTAAGAATTTTCAATAAACGTTTTAATAACCATGGAGTGCCTGAGCACTTGACAATGGACTCCACTACCAAAAATCACTGGCTTATCTATTAATTTGGGTGTGGTGGTTTGCTCTTCCTTATTACGGCACGTATAAAAACACGACTAGCAGTCGCCATGCGTGGTGGTGGCACACGTCTTTAATCCCGGCAAAGACAGGTGGATCTATGTGAGTTCGAGGCCCCAGGCTGGTCTCCAAAACAAATTCCAGGACAGTTAGAGTTGTTACACAGAGAGACCCTGTCTCGAAAAACAAACAACACCCCCCCCCCATGACTAGCGAGACATAGTGGCTCACCTCTGTAACCCCAACACTCCAGGCTAAACAAGAGGAAAGCTGCAAGGTGCACTGTCTGAGCTACTTAGCAAGACTCAAATATTTAAGACAGAAACTAGAGAAGCCTTTACAGGAAGCGGAGACCAATGAGCAGTGCCTCAGGAAGTCTGTGAGACTACGAACACACTAATGGGAAACAAACAGCAATTCACGGTCTATGGATAATTTTATTCCTTTTTTTTTTTTTTTTTGAATTGCACACGTCTCCTGCACAAACATCCGTGTAAGAACTGGATATCAGGCCATAACTGCTCTTACCCAGATTATGAACTCATTAAAGTTTCACGTTATTATCAGACCCAGAAATGTAAGAGTGCCCACTTTTGCCTCAAATATCCTTCAGTTCTTCACACCAGCGTTGTGCCTGCAAAAACAGGGGAGCCAACTTGCAAAAGGGAGCCCCAAGTCTGTGGCTCGCAGCAGCCTGGACTTCCGCTCCACGCTGCCCCCTAGCGGCCACCCCTCTGGCCTGGGCTTCCCGTAGTCCGGCTCCCCGGCCCCAGGTCTTCCACCCACCCCCTTCACCTCCTCCCAGTCCCCTCCCCTTCCTCCCGCCAGCATCCCCTTCCTCTTTGTCCCTCTCCCCCCGCCGCCACCCCGGCTCCGGCAGCCTCCGGGCCGGCGCCCACAGGTCCGGGCTGGGCACTTGTCACGGCCCCTTCCACGGCGCTCCGGCCGCTCCGGAACCCTGCGTCTCCCTCCCCCTCACCTCTTCCGGAGCGCTGCCCGCTTCGCTCTTACTGGGCCCGCCAGCTTGGTCCGGTTTCTTTCTCAAGTTAAGACTCCTTGCCAGCGGCCGTCACTTTTTGGCCTTTTCACATATGAATATTTGGGGGACCTTTAGCCCCCCCCTCGCGGAGAAATGGAGGCAATAAAATGGCGGACCCGGAAGTGAAGACCCGGTGACTATGCCTCCTGGCGGAGGAATCCGGATGAAATGGGTTAGAAAACCCACTTTGCCTTTCTGTCAAAACCGCAACGCACCTCTGAGGCCGACTTCTTCCTACTGAGGACCTCTTGAGTTTGAAAAGCGTGTACCGAGGGCATCCTGAACGGGACTACTTAGCGAGGCGCAGGATTATTGATTACGTGGCTTACGTGAGGCATAGTTCCGGTAGGGGACGGACCGGGCCGGTAGTTTTGGCGCCAACGCTTGGGTGAGGTTGCTGGTGGGTCGTTCTGGAGTTTGTGCTCCACCTTCCCACTGGTTCTCCGCAGGGCTAGCCTTAGAGTCAGGGGAGAATCGTGCTTCCGCGTCTTAACCTTCGCGAGACTGTTCGGGACATTCCTGGCTAGGCACGCGCATCGGACACCTGCCCTACCGGATACTTTGCCAATTAGTAGCCTGAATATAAAGACATTCTCAGGGAAGACAAACTTACGTTTGTGGGGGGGGGGGGGGACTGAAGAGGATGGAACATGAATTTGCATCTCCTTTAGGTCACTTCATGTACCACACAGCTTATCTTGGTTTCCACTCAACGGTTTAAATGAATGGACTGAGAAAAAAACAAAAGGTCCTTCAAAAATCAGCAACAGACAAGCCTCTAATGGCAGCCTAGGCAGAGAGAGCTTTGAACTCAAGGTCCAGGTTCCAGGCCCCAAATTTAAACACAAGGTTTAGAAATGGTGACACACCCCTGCAGAGGCAGGCGGATCTTTTTGAGTTTAAGACCAACCTGGTCTACAAAGCAAGTTCCAGGACTGTTATACAGAGAAAACAAAAAGAGAACGGGCTTGAGATGTGGCTTAGTGTTTAAGAGCACCGGCTGCTTCCTGAGGAACTCAAGCACTCCTACCACTGAGCGCCATCCATCCTGAACAGTTCTTCCGGAGTCAGTATTAGAAAGAGAAAACAAAAAGCTGAGTGTGGGAACGAGTAAATTCTGAGAGCTGTAGTACTTCACTGAGAAGAGAGGAAATGCAAACCCAGACTTAGGCTTTAACATCTTTATTAAATAAATGAACAATGGCAGCACAAATCAGCAGCAATAACTTTGGAAGGAAGAGGGACAGGTGTAGGGTCTGAATATAATTGCTTATTTCACGGTCTTCCAGTGGCTGAAGAACTATGCCCAGGAACCACTGGCTCCCATCACGTACTGCAACTACAGAAGGGCAAAGCTAAAGTGCTAAGAACCAAAACACTCCGCCTGTTCCATGACTGACTCACAATTCTATATAAATTATGCTAATACTACTCTGGTTTCTCTTTAGATCATATAAATCTTTTGCCTTTTATGGATTATCCTACACCAAGGTTTCCCCATGAAGACTGAAATCTGTTCTCTCAAAGTTCCCAACCCACAGCTGGGAGCGAAGTTGTGAGGTGCATCCCATGCTTTTCCTCACTCCCGTTCTCCAGGGTGTGTTATTTCCTCTCGTACCCATGACCATCCATGTTTCTGCATGACATTTCAGAACCTCCAGGTCCTCACTACTTCTTGAAATATTTGCTTACTGGCCTTGTGCAGGAAATCAGGGAGGATCAAGGAATCTCTGAAGCCGATTAAAATGTAATGTAAAAAAAATCGTTTCCCATTTTGCACAACTGTACTTCTCTCTGGTGCCCCAATACGGATGGTTTTCTGGAACTAGTTAATATCCTTGGGGTTGGGGTGGAAATCCCGTGATGTAGTACTCCTGTGACTGAACCCTTGACTTTGTGCCTAGAAGGCTTGAGAGAAATGGAGTAGGCAGATAAATAATAAATAAATAAATAAATAAATAAGAAATAAATACATACAAACATACAATTCAATTGGCAGATTCATCAGCACCACCAGCACAATAGAGGGAAGAAAACAGTATTAGATGGGAAAGGCTTAGAAAGGACCGGGCTTAAAAGGGAAGGCAGTGGGGTAAGGGGTGGGAGAGAGAAGCTTTGGCCTTAGAGCAAGTCCAAGTCGATAGAGTGGATGCTGGCAATGGGAGCTCTCCAGAAGTTGAAGGTGCTGAACTCAAGGAGGGGATCACCTTCTGGGTTCTTCTGCTCTGCTCCGCTTGCTTGACCGCCCATTTTGCCACCATTGCTGTCTGTGCTCTTGTAGGTAGATGTATCTGACAGGCCCAGGCCTTCCAGCTCCGACAGATCCAGTTCTGGGATGGGCATCCTCCAGAAAAGGAAGGAGTTGTACTGGCTACTCACAGGGTCCCTCATAATTCCCTGGGGAAGAGCAAGTCACTTGTTAGTCTTCATGCCAGAGCAAGCTCCTTGCCCGAGCCTTCCCTTGCTTAAGCTGATCTTTTTGTTTGCTCTGGTAAATATGCGGAGGATTTTAAGACAAGTACCAGAACTTTCTATTACGATTCTGCACCAGCCTCTAACTTCTCCACTGCAGCAGGCTCACCTTGGCTCTAATATTTCCCCGCAGTAATATATCTCGGGTCTTATACACCGCAGGCAGGAGCTGTATCTCTATCCGCTTAGGTCTGATTTCTGAGCCGTTACAAGTCTGGCCCCACTCTTTTTGTGTGCGGTATTGAGGGGTTAACAGACGCTGGGGTGTCTAGGCAAATACTCTGAATTATACCCTAAGCCCTCTTGTTACCTTTATTTTTAGACAGGCTCTTCTCTTACTGACTTGCCCAGTCCAACCTTGAACTTGAAATCTTTCTGCCTCAGCCTCCCGAGTCACAGGCCTGCTCAACTAAGAATGAGTTAACTGTGCTGAGAACCAAAGGCAGGACTTTACATGTACTGGTCAAGGACCCTACACATTCCCAGAACCAAACATATGGCTTCTTCACGTCTGTTTACTAAGCTATGGTGTCTGTAAAGGTCTTCCATGACATGTTCACATTTCCTCTCGCGTAAGGCGGCAACGAACTCACCTCCTCCAGGACATCTCCCCCAAAGTGGTGAGCTCCACCTACCTAGCCACCCCAGAGCCTTCCCCAGCACCCTGCAGAATTTTACCTGACTCCATCCTGTTCTGATTACAGATCACAATGGACTGGATATATTTTATGTTTTTATCTCCTTATAAAACCAAAAGTTTTGCCGGGCGATGGTGGCGCACGCCTTTAATCCCAGCACTCGGGAGGCAGAGGCAGGCGGATCTCTGTGAGTTCGAGGCCAGCCTGGTCTACAAGAGCTAGTTCCAGGACAGGCTCCAAAACCACAGAGAAACCCTGTCTCGAAAAACAAAAAAACAAACAAACAAACAAAAAAAACCAAAAGTTTCTCTATGGCTAAAAACACACCTACTAGGCTGGGCATGGTGGCACATGCCTTTAATCCCAGCACTCAGGAGGCAAAAGCAGGCGATCTCTGAGTTCCAGGCTAGCCTGGTGTACAGAATGAGTTCCAAGGCTGTTTCAAAGGGGGAAAAAAAAAAACAAAAAACAAAACAAAAACCAAAAACATCTACTTTCGGGTAAAGCAGGAGATAGACCTTACATGTAAACTCTAATTTGCCCTTATTAGCACAGTGGACACTTTGCTACTCTCACTTATTTGTCCCCAGAGTAACAAATCCTCACTATGTCTCTCTGGCCCATCTCTCCTCAGGACAAACCCAGATGCTAGAACAGCTTTCTTCCGCTACACCACGATCTTTTCCCGCTGACAACCGAGAGCAAGCAGGCTGGAAGCACCAGGTAAGGGAGCAAAGTTTACAGGGGAAAGAACAGTGCCTTGAAAGACAGGGTCTCACTATGCAGGCCAGGATGGCCTTGAACTCACCAAGAGCTGATGGAGAGATCAGAGGTTACAGGCATATGCCACTATGCCCAACTCCTCTTTCCATGTTTTTTGGGTTTTTTTGTTTGTTTATTTCTTTGTTTGTTTTTCAAGGGCTTCTCTGGCTGTCCTAGAACTTGCTCTGTAGACCAGGCTGGCCTTGAACTCCCTGAGATCTGCCTGCCTCTGCCTCGGGAGTTAACACTCAGTTGTGGTACCTTTGCTTGTCCTGCAGCCCACACCTCCCTGACACTGTGACTAGCAGAGCTCTCTGGAGCCTTCGTCGATTATTTACTGGCCAGGGAAAGGGCAAGAAACTTTAGTTTAAATGTTCCCAAAGGAGCAAAAAGAACATTCCACTGCCAACAAAAATAGAAGTTTCAAAAAGTCTTTCTGGAACACACTATCAGCTCTCACCAGCCTGTGACTCCTAAAAAGTGCCCTTAAGTAAGTTCCAAAGTGTCCCTATATGACGTGAAATGTCTCTGCCAAACTAGGAAAACTGACCTAGAACAGAAACTGCAGGAAATGTGGGGTTGGGGGTGGGTAAATGGTCAGCAGGTGGCCCAGAAGTGGGTTTCTGAGTCTTGCTCCAAACTCAGCTCTAGTTCAGGCTGACTTGAAACACAAAGCCTTGTGCGGAGGCGCCCTAGTGCTGGAGTTACAGGAACGTATCACACCAGGCCAGAACTTTTGGGCTGCTTTTTTTTTTTTTTTTTAAAGACAGGGTCCTCCTTCCTTTGAAATTTTTTTGGGGAAAAAAAAAAAAAAAAAAGACAGGGTCTTCCTCTGTAGCCCGGGCTGTTATGTAGTATGTAGTCAGCCATCTTCCTTCCTCAGTCTCTAGAGTGCTGGGATTCCAGCCCTGTGCCTTTCCCTGTGATCTTGTACGAAGAGAGACACGGGTGTCCACAGGTGTCACACGGTGACTGTGTGGGCGGCAGTGAGAGGAGCACCACCCTGCTCAAGTAACATGTGCCCTGCTCTCTGAGACAGGCTCTCGCTGAACCTGGAGCTCGGTGGGCAGCCAGCAAGTCCAGCCATCCTCCTGTCTCCACCCTCCCGTGTTTCTGGGGCTACAGATGTAGGCGGTCACACCCAGCTTTTTATTTGGCTTCTGGGAATCTGAACTCAGGTTCTTTTTCTGATTTCTTTTTTCTTTTCTTTTTTTTTTTTCCGAGACAGGGTTTCTCTGTGTAACAGCTCTGGGTGCCCTAGAACTTGCTTTGTAAACCAGGCTGGGCTCGAACTCAGAGAGATTCACCTCCTCTGAGGCATTTGCAACCACCTTTGGGCCATCCCATGACCTTTGATAACATTAAAAAAGTACTACCCGTTTATAATCCCAGCAATCAAGAGGCTCAGGCAGGAGTTTGAGGAGTATGTGTTTGGGCCCAGGCTGGGCAAGACTCTGGCTCAAGCAAAACAAAACAAGGAATATAATAATAATAATAAATAATTTTTTTTCAGGCAAGGTCTCATAGCTCAGAATAGCTTCAAAATGTAATTCCTGATCCTCCTGCCTCCATCCGCCAAATGCTGGGGTTACAGGCATGGTCCAAGATACATGGCTTAAAAAAGGCACATTCTGGGTTCTTTCATCCATCCTTCCCCTATCATCCTCCCTTCCCTCTCTCTCCCTCCCCTCTTCTCTTCTTCTCTCCCCTCCCCCCTCTCTCATCAAGCTCCAAAATAAGCCCCTGGGAGCTGAACATTACTCAGCAGAGAAGTAGTTTAACAAGAGCGTGATGCCGGACTGAAGCAGGGCCAAGGAGTTAGCAGAAAGGTGAGGTCATTGCCCCATGAACTCAGCTCTGACCATCTCCATGGGAACGTACAGAGAGTTAGCAAGCATGACTGCATCTATAACACCTTTGAGCTAACCAAGCCCCACTGAGGTCTGGACTACAGACACTAAAGAGCATGCCTTAGAAGTCAGGCTGTTACTGACTCTGCTTATCGGGAAGTTTATGACATCACCAGGTGTTGCCTTGTTAGCTGACTTAAAAAAACACCTTCCCTTAAAAGTCTCCTACAGAGTGACCTTCTTATAACACAGGGCATATAATAAACTGTTTTCCACAGACAATACCATGAACTAAAGTAGCAGAGGCTGACCTTGAACTTATGACATCCACATTACATAATTAAAACGAACAACTACTAGGAAAAAAATTGTTTTTGTTCTTTTGAGCAAGGGTCTAGCTATGTAACCGAGGCTATGTAGAATCTTATTATATAGCCTGGACTAACCTTAAACTCAAGATTCTCTCTAGTCTCAGCTTCCAGATTCTGGGTGCTGAGATCACAGACATCACCATCACACCTAGCTTAAAATGAAAAACAAATATATTTCTTAAGCTGCGTTATTTGAGACGCGGTCTCACTATATTGCCCTGGCTGCCCTAGAACCCATTTTGTAGGCCATGCCAATCTTGAGCTTACAAAGATGTGCTTGCCTCTGCCTCCTGAGAGCTTGGATACAAAAGGTGTGTGCCGTTGCACTCAACTAAAACCGTGAAAACCAGACGACACCTTAGATTGTTCAGGAGCTGGCTTGGGTGTCCAGCTGATGTGCACCCCAAGTCTCATACTTCTAGTACAATCCGAGAGCTCTTGCTGTCCTTCCAGAGGACCTGGGTTCCCAGCAACCACATGGCAGCTGATAACCAATGCCAGTTCCAAGGCATCTGACACCGTCTTTTCAGGAGCAGGCATGTTCTTGGCATTCATAAAAATTAAATCTTTTTTTTTTAACTTGAAAATTTTTTTTAAAATCTGTGTGTTCCAGGTGGTGGTGGTGCATGCCTTCAATCCAGCACTCGGAAGGCAGAGGCAGGCGGATCTCTGTGAGTTCGATGCCAGCCTGGTCTACAAAGCAAGTTCCAGAACAGAGAAACCCTGTCTAGGAAAAATAAATAAATAAATAAATAAATAGAAATCTGTGTGTGTTGTGTATGGGGGGCTGGGCGTCCACACCCCATGCCTAGGTAGAGGTGAGAGGCCTTGCCTTCTGCTTGTCTGACCTTGTAAACCAGGCATGCTGGGCTGGGAGCTCGTGGAGCTTCTCCTGCTCAGGACCTTTGGGAGGGCAGGCAGTGCTCTTAACCACTGAGCCATCTCTCCAGCTCCTATTTTTATTTCTTTTTTTTTAAATTTTTTTTCAATTTTTATTTCTTAAATAAGGTCTTAACATGTAGCCCAAGTGCTGGCTTCTAACTTGGAATCCCTGCCCCTGCCCCTGAGTCCTGGGATTACAGGTGTATGTGCCACCACTCCCAGCTAAGAATTTTGTTCTTGGTGCTGGGCAGATGGCTTAACAGTTAAGAGCACTGGCTGCTCTTTCAGTAGTTAATTTCCCACAAACCACACAGTGGCTCACAACCATCTATAGTGGGATCTGATGTCCTTTTCTGGTATAAAAGCACACATGCATAAAAAGAATTTAGTTGTCAAAATAATTCTTTTCTTAGTATATTCTGCTGACCTCCTTCTGTGGTTCTAATCTGACTAGGAGGAGAGCTGGGTATGGGAAGGAACTCCTACAACCCCAGCATCTAGTAGGTGGAGGCAGGAGGATCAGGAGTTATATGGAAGCCAACAAACTGTCTTGAAAAATATTTTGAGACTAAGCTAGCATTAAGTCAGCGTTGACAACCTGACTCCCTTCCTTTCAACTGTAATACGTATAACAGTTGCCTACACAATTGATCAGAGACTGCACAGAACTGTCTTCCAACTGAAACAGCTAGATTCAGGCGTGGAGGCACACAGCTGCAGTCCCAGCACTCAGCAGGCTGAAGGACCGTGAGTTCAAGCCTAGCCTGGGCTGCACACTGAGTCCAGAGACCCACCCCGCAAACCAAAACAAAAGGAACATGGACAAAACACAAAACTAAGTCAAATAAAACAATTTAAAGGAAATTATGTGGAAATATCTAAAGGAAATATTAAAAAGCTGAAAATCTCCAGCCTGGAGACATGTCCAGAGACACAAATTCGTTTCCAGAAAGCAGACACACAGGTATATGTAGCATTAAAATAAGAAGACAGGCTGCTTTCAAGCTGGCTTCCCCTTCCTTCCTTAACCTCTCTTCACCCATCATTTTACCTGTCTGTCTGGAGGCTCTGGAAGGTGACTGACGACATGGTACATGCTCAGTAAATGTGCCATCCATTTTGAACTACCCCAATATTGTAGGTAAAGTAACTTCTAAATTTCATTGTCAGTTCTTCGAGACACCATGATTAAAGACACACTTTCTTTAAGCCACGTGGACACACCCAAATACCCTTTGTCTAGATTGCCGCCCCCCAGGAGCACCCAAGGCCTGCTCCACAGAGCCTTGCTGTGTCATGGTGCCGCCAAGCAGCCTGAGCAGGGCTGGTGGAGGATGGAGCCGGAAGCTTTCTGGTGTGTCTCACGTTGCTCTGGGATTTTCCTGCTAGCCACAACCTTCCCCACCAACTAGGAGGGGCTGCAAAGAAAAATCTGTTCTCAGCAGTAGTTCCTGTGGGCTGCGCTGATTCCAACATGCCATCAGGCAATGGCACAGCTGCCCCCACCTGTCCTACCTCAAGCCTCTTCGGGGTGAAAATCTGAGTCAGGGAAGAGATTGCATAGTACCCCGTGTCAAAAAAGAAAAGGAAAAAGGAGTACTCCCCAAAACTCCCTACCACAGACACAGAACCGTGAGGAGGGTGGGAATCCAAGAAGTAGAGGTTGCAGGAATTACAGTTCGAATAAAGATTCACCAAATAACTGGTAGCAAAATTATAGCTTGAAAAGGAAGATACAGATAACTAGCCACTAGACTAGAAGCCATTAGATGCACAAGGCAAAAATTATCGGAAAAATGGATACACGAAATGAAGAGCTAAATGCCGAGAAATAATTACAGGTAAAGTGTTGGAAATTAATGCTTAGGTCCACGATAAGGCATAGATGGAGATCTTAACAGATAAAAATCTGGTAACAGCTACCCATTGTTCAGAGCGCCCCCTTCTCTCCTCTGAAACGGTCCCCCACCTAGTCTCACAAGGGGGTCTTTCAAGCTTGAGAAGCCGCCCCTCAGCTAGGTTACCTGTTATCAATGAATGATTGGCGTGTTCCGAAGAAGGAGAGAATGCCTCAGGGGCTCGGGGGTCTGCTCTGGACGGGAGAGGAGGAGGCTGCAGAAAAAAGCTGTTGGTGGTGAGACGGCTTTGTCTGCTCACGCCTTCTGCCTCGTCTGTGACAGAGTCCGCCGCTGGGTCTCCCCTGCAATGCAGCCCCTCCTAGCAAGGGCGGAAGCACTCCCCGCCCCCTCTCTGCCTGACTCGGCTAATTCGAATGATAGGTTCCGGAACACGCCACCCAGGCTAGAGCCTCTCCATCGGCTCGCACGGCACCCACATCTCTCCAGCACCCTCGTGCTGACCGGGGTGCAATGGCTGAGCAGTTAATTGTCCTCTAACTTAGATGCATGGGTTAAAAAGACTTTCCGCTAGACCAAAAAACGCTCCTCCTTTTCACTCTAAGGACCGAAGGGGACTTTGGGAGACCTGGAAAGGGCCCCGGCGCGCGGTCACCTCTGCACCTGCAGCAGGTGGACAGACCTAGCACACACACTTAGGGTGCCGGGGGTGTCCAGGAGCGCGGTATTTCCCGCTGTCCCCGCGGGCCAAGCCGTGCGCCCCGGCAAGCCTGGGCGGAGCGCTGCGCTCGGCTCGCAGCCCGCGGGTTTCGTAATCGCGTCGCCGGCGTTTCCGCCCTCGGTCGGCCCCACCTCTGCCGGCCCGCCCTCGACTCCCCGCCGTACGGAGCAGCAGCCGGGGATCCCGGAGTGGCGGAGCCCCCGCCAGCAGCGGCCGCCGCCTGGACGCCGGGGAGCCGCAGGTGAGAGCGCCGGGCGGGTCGGGCTGCGCGCGGGCGGCGGGGAGGAGGTCGTGGTCACAGTCCACGCGCGGGCGGCGCCAGCCGGGGAGAGGCAGTGACTCGGCGATTGCAGCGTGGGGCCGGGTGGGAGGTGCGAAGCGACAGGGGCTCCTCGCCGGCCCACTAACCTCAGAGGTCTGCTGTCCCAGACAAAACGAAGTGGTGCTGGGGCCCCGGAAGGTCTAAGCCAGACTGAGGCAGCCACGGAGAACAGTGACAGCCACAACGATCCACTGAGGTTCTCATCCTAGTTCTGAGTGGGTGGGGGAGAGAACTGGAGTCTGATGGAAAATATTGGGGGAGGGGAACAAATTAGGGTCTCCTGTTTCCTCTTAAGTCCCCAGAAGCCCTTTCCTGGGGTTCGGGCAGGGTTGGTGCTAGGACAAATGTCTGTCAGTTGACTGGAAATGGGGCCCGTTCCTCTCTCAGGGCCCCTCAGGAGCCCGCTGTGTCTGGAGGGTCTCCACGCAGGGACCAGCTGCATCCCTGGCTTACAGCCAGGATTTGCCCACACCATTCTCTAGTCTCTTTCTCTCCAGCTGCTTCTTGTGAAGGCTTGTCAGACAGCGGGTTGGAAGCCTTGAGGCTGGAGGCAGCGGGACCGGGAAAACCGGTTTGGGGCTACCACAGGACCGGGGAACTACCTGTGTACATCCTTCCTCTCCGGCTCCTTACCCCCACCCCTCTCCTGCTCGCCCCTCTTCAGCTCTTCCGTCTTCAAGGCCCACCGTGATCATGCCGGTGATTTGGAGATTGCCACTCCAGGTTCTGGATTTCGTGTGGAAATGAGAGGGGCCCCACTGTCAGTATGTGGCTCTATGCTGTCTAATCCTAGATCCCTTCTCTTTTCCCATTTCTTCCCTTTTTCTGTGGGGATGAAGGAGTGGGCAGTGTCTCTAGCATCGCTGCCGCCTCGGCTCTCCAGCTGAGGCGTCGTTTGCCCCCATCCCAATCGTTGGCTGCTTTAAAACAGAGTGACAGCCAATGCCTAGTACTTCCTTTTCTGGCTTTGTTCCTCTTCCCCCCACCCAACACTACCACATTGACCCTGGCCTGTCTTCACACTCTGACACCGCCTCCAAGCTTCAGAGACCCTAATGTCCTAGGGAGTGGAATTTCCTGGTCACTTCTCATCATCATTGGTTGTTTCTTGCCAAGTCCCCCACACACACTTTCCCTCCACCCATCTTGGTCAGGTCCCTGGAAGAGAAACAGAAAGGTCCTTGTTTCCTCCAGGGCCCCCTTTCCTCTCCCTCCTCCTCTCCCTCCTCCCAGCACTGGCCACCTCTGTCCACTGTGCTCTGAGCAGGGTGGGGAATACTGGGTAGAGCCCAGCCTCAGTATAGGCTGTCTGGTCGTGTTGGGGGTTTCCTCTGATTCTTTATTGTTTTCTCCATTTCCCCAAACCCCTACCACCTGCCACCATCATGACAAACCTTGTGACCAGTGGGTCAGCCTCCCCTCCCTGGGCAGCTGTGTTCTGACCAGTCCTGGTTACTCCTGCCTTCCAGGGGCAGGAAGGGAAGTGAAAAAGAAGCCGACCCTTGGGTTCTTTCCTACCCTAGAGCTGTATTTCCCTGCTTGAGTGATCTCATCTCAGGGCTACTAGAAAACAACACTCAACAAACAAGCAAAACTCAGTTTTTTTGGTCAGTCTAGGCTACTGGAGCACCCTGCTTCCAGCCTCAAGCCTAGAGGCTCATTCCTATTCATACTCATGATTAATATTCATGGACTGCCCTATTGGACTCCTGAGCTTGACTTTGCTGTAGAGAGGGAAGTGCAGAGGAAACGCAGATGGGCTGTCACCCCAGGTTGGCAGCAGTGAGGAGGGGAGAAAGTTCCTCCTGGGACACAGTGCTGCTGGAAAGTTCCTGTGTGTCTCGCTCACTGGTGGAGTTTGGAAGTGGGGAGAAGGAAGAGAGCAGGTCAGAGCATTAGGGAAGGGGGAAGGGAGGTCTGAGCCTTACAGGGTGTAAGACACCCAACAGCACAGGATGGAACACGTGGAAAAGGGTGGGGAGGCCCAGAACAGAAAGCCACTCCGCACATTACCTGTGGGGCCACGGGTAGGTGCACACAAGTCTGCAGAGCTCTCGGGAAAGGCAAGGTCAGATACTAACTCTAACTGGACTCTGGGAGGCCCTTGGACTTCAGCTGGGGGAAGTGCGTGCAGAGGAACAAAGGCAGTGGACTGAGAAGGAGAAATTCCCCGCTCCAGAACACACTGCCTGTCTCCTGGGCTCTGACTAGGTGGTCCTTAAAACCAATGGAGGTGTTGGGGCAAGGTAAGAGAAAAGGGAGGGACAGGGCGGAGGCCTTGTTTGTGAGAACAGAAACCACTATTTCCTCTTCGGAGTCTCTTACGTGCCCTCCCCTCCTGCCCTCGCCTGGGGCGAAGGGAACTGAAGGCAGTAGCACCCCTTCACTCTGTCATTTCTGTCACCGTCTCATCCCAAGTTCTCTTAGCCCCTTCTTCCTTGGTCCCAGTTGTCATCGCTCCTGACCCGGTTCGTCTTTTGCACTATCCCTTGTGAGGAGCAACTGTGAGCATCCTGTGTTTGAGGGGGACAGGACTGGGGGACAGCAGTAGCCTCCACGAGAGAAGATGAAAGTGTATCAGGTCTCTCAGGGAAATGGATTGGGGAGGGATGCTTCTCACTAACAATTCTTTTTCTTTCTGCTAAAATTCAGGATTTCACATCAAAAGAAGACAGAACCGTGTGCCTGCCCACCCCAAGCCTCTTGCTGGTGCTTTTAGGGGCCCCGGGTCCGAGACTCTGACCTTCACTGCACGAGTGAGGGTCTCTAGGATTCCCACAGCCCGAGAACCATCCAGCTGTGTGAATCCCGGGTGCTGTTGCGCCTGAGAGTGAGGACTGGCTGGTTAGCAAAAAAACAAGAGCCCTCTGGGGCCTCTAGCAGAGGCCCGAAGCTGGAACCATCAGGGAATATGAGTGAATTTTGGCACAAACTGGGCTGTTGCGTGGTAGAGAAGCCCCAGCCGGTAAGTCTCCTGACCCCTCCCTGCCACACACAGAAATTCGTTACCAGCCGGGCGGTGGTGGCGCACGCCTTTAATCCCAGCACTCGGGAGGCAGAGGCAGGCGGATCTCTGTGAGTTCGAGACCAGCCTGGTCTACAAGAGCTAGTTCCAGGACAGGCTCCAAAACCACAGAGAAACCCTGTCTCGAAAAACCAAAAAAAGAAAAAAAAGAAATTCGTTACCATGTGCTGGGAAGTGGACACGCCATCTCTGATCTGCCTTCTGAGAAACACTTGTCTCCCCCACCTCCTGAGTTTCTGTGGCAGGGTATGGTCCCGTGCAATAAAGGAGACTGTGACAGAAGAGCTGAACAGCTCTGTCACCTGCTCCTGTTCTGAGGTGGCAGGGGTCGTATGCAGAACTTGAGACCTGTCAGTGTCCCCTCATCATCCTAGGTGCCTTTGCTTTGTCCCTTCCTTTGTATAGTCACTCAGCAGGCCACCACTCTGGTGACATTGTCTCGGATTTGTTCCAGCTCTGTCTGTCTTTCCTACCCTGATGTTTGCCCATTACACTGCCAAGTCAACCTTAACTCTTGGTGGTTTTCCAAGCCTCTTTCCCCTTCCTCCACGGGGGAGAAGGCTGCCTGTGTGACTCCCTGTCTTCTCCAAGCAGAAGAAGAGGAGAAGACGGATTGACCGCACCATGATTGGAGAACCAATGAATTTTGTCCACTTGACTCACATCGGCTCTGGAGAGATGGGGGCAGGAGATGGACTTGCCATGGTAATAAGGGAAGGGCGGATGTTTATTTGGGGGTGTCGTCAAGCGAGGGACATAACACAATACTTAATGGGGAAACAAGAATCTTAGATTGTAGCCCTGGTCCCCAGTGGTGTGGATTTCTGATCTCTAGGGCTAGCTCCCTTCTTTACAGTTAGCACTGGGTCTTCATTAGAGTATAAATGTTGTAATATTGAAGGCCTTTTTCTCAGACCATGGGTCTCCTTATGAAGAACCTAAGCAGAGCTGGGACGTAGCTCAGGTAGTGGAGTGCTTGCTCGCCTAGCGTGCGGGAAGCCCTGGGCTTGATCTTCAGCCCTGCAGAAGCTGGGTGTGGTGACTCACACCTCTAACCCCAGCACTCAGGAACTAGGGACCAGAGGCTCAAGGTCATCTTGTACAGAGAGTCTGAGGCCAACTTGGCCTAGAGACCCTATCCCAAAATAGAAAAAAAGAAACCTGTTCAGTCAGTGTCAGAGCGAGTCAGTGTGACTGGGCGTCTTGGGCCATGTAAGGGTCTGTTCTAAATAATGTCTTAATTATTTAATACTGGTTTTTTAATACTGGTTACAAAACTCACAGGAA